CAAAATCCCCACCTAGGAGTCCCTAATAGCCTAACCTTTTGACCGCACCAAATACCCCAACATCTTGGGGGGTAGGAAAAGGGTGGTTTTGGGGATGGCAAAGAGAAACACTTCACTCCTTCTCCACTTCTGAAAGAAAGGGCTTAGGCACCTACCTTCAGAAGAGGGTTCAGGGCTGAGAATCTAGAGTGGACAGAAGCAGCTCCTGGCAACACTGAATAATAAGGCAGGTAAACTCTGTAAGGGGTAGAATTTAAGACACCTCCCTGTCTTCATCGTTTCCTAGTAATTAGTAAGTAACACCCCTTTTTGGACCTGGCCCTAAGTGCCTTAGGAATCTCTGGAACTTGGGTAATAATCTTGGAAGGATTATCCTATAGATAAAATGCAGGCCTAGCAAGTCTTTTCTCCTCCCATGTTATTTTCCTTTCCTGCAAGTGCTTTCGGGAACTTCTTAACCTTGTGTATCAAAAAATAAGTCGCAAGGAGCTTCCTTAAATCTGACTCATTTTTCTTTTAGCCAAAGAGGCATTTGAACATTTTCGACTGCAAATACATGAATATATGTGATATATAAATTAACCTGAATCACCAACCGCCACATCCAGAAAATCAGTTCACCGCAAAAACTGCAGTGACTCAGAAGAAAAATCTAAAAAGCGTTTGTGATTTAGAGTTGACTGTCACTTAGTGCATTAAAAAAAATTGCCCATGATTTCTCACAAGTTTTCTATTAATGAACTCCAAAATGGCAATGAAAATGCTGCAGTGCACAACTATTTAGAGGCTTTACTGGGTGGCAAATAATAAAATAAGCTCTCTTTGGATCACAAGAGGGAATGAGAGTGAGGGTTAGTTAGCATATCCAGCTTTTCAGAGAATGTTCCAGGATTTTAAATTGTGAGCCAGCAGTATTTTTATTTGTTTCTGCTAGTGCAATCTCTTCTTGGTTTTCACAGCTTTCACATACCAACCTCTCTCCAGGCAGAGAGACCTCTGTCAGTAAAGAACAGTCTTTTGTGTAGCACAGGACAGGTGAATCAGTTGGCTTCTATTCATCATCTCTGCCTTGAAAGTGCTCAGTATGTGAGATCACTATGTTATTTACATGGAAAGAGGCTCCACAGGGAACAAAATCATTAACAAGTTAGTTCCTGGGGAAACAAAATGTCAGATCTTTTTTGCTAATTATTATTATTATTATTATTACTACTGTTATTACAGCCACTTCTAAGTTTCTGAAGTACTAATTTCCCTTCACTGCATTACCTAAGTGCAACAGTGAAATATTGCACTTTATACAGTTTCTTCTATTCAAGAATCTCAAAACATTTTACCAACTTCAGGAATTCAGGCTCCCACTGAGGATTCCCCACTGAAGCAGAAGTTAGCATCACCTTTTTCTATTTTTGAACATATAAGAAAAGGGAGGAACAGACAGATGCAATGATGTTCCCAGACAGAGACATGCAGCCTGCAACAACAGTAGAACCCTTGTCTCCAGTTTTCCAGGTCTGGGCCTCAACCACTGTGTACCCTCCATTTAATAGCACCTTCTAGCCATGTGAAAGATCCAGGCTCAAGCCTTTACCCAGTCTCATTCTGCGCTTGATCTTTGTGGGCAGCCTACAGTGGAAGCGTCATTGATGAGCTATGTCAGTTAAGAAAAAATGATCCCACTCATAGGCTTCTGAGAATGCTTGCAGGATTTTGAAGACAAGAGGTGTCTTCCATTGAGGACTAGAAGAAGGATGATCTGGAGGGTAAGGCACAAGCTTTCTTCTTGAGTGAACTGAGTTCAAGTGCAGGCTCCACCAGACTGCCTATATGACCTTAAGCAAGCTAGTTAAAGCTACATTTAAGCTGATAATTATGACTCATCTTAAGGTTGTTCTAAAGCCCATGCATAATGCCCACCCATGCTACAAGTCTCTCCATTCCCAGTATCCATCCAGCCTAACTCTGGAAGATCTGCTGACCTTCTAGGTATGACCTAGCCTTTGCTTCTCTCTGCTCCAGTTTCCTAGCAGTACAATGACAGACAACAGCAGCTCCCTGCCTCATAGGGGTGCTGGAGGCATTCAGATATTGTAAAGGGGGACCTTATTTATAGTCAACATTAAAAGGCTAAATTATGCATTAATGTTCAAGGGCTTGGCTTGATGTTTTCTTACATGGTTTATGAAAAGACAATACTAACAGGGGTGAACTATGCGATGAACTTGAATAGGAAGCTAAGCTTTCCAATAAGGTTAATTCTTTCTAAAAGGAATAGTCTAAGAATTTGCATTGCTTCAACTTCTTAGGGAGATGTCTACTTTATCTCAAGAATTAAGACAGACAGAGACCATCATCACCAGTGTAACACCCAATGAAACTAACAGCAAGGACATACAGAATCCATGTATTTCTTAGGGCCCTGCATCAATCTGGCTGTAGCATTCACCTGTAACCTACCACATCACTGCCACTGTAAACTTTAGCTTCTGCTATTTAGTCATATAAAACAACAGAGCTCCTCTTTTCGCCATTTCAAAACAGCTTTTTTCACCACCGTGCAGCTATTGTTCATAACTTTGGTTAAATGCCTTTAGCTAGCATAGCAGAAACCTGTCAGCGCAAACACTGCAACATGTCCTTCAAGAAAAATAAAGATGCTTCAAAATTATTTAAATATATATTTTTCTTTTTTTAAAATGAGATCTTCCCTAATCAAACCTAATGTAGAAACTCATGACTGAAACTACTTTTGTTTTCAGATCACAAAGGTTTGGTAAAATGCTGCATACTTAAGAAGAATTCCTATAAGAGATGAAAAATACCTATCCAAAGGGAGCCCGTTGTCAGATACTGACTCATCATTCACTGATCCTGTGAAAAACTATGCAGCTCAATTTGGCCTGCTAACTATGATATCACTTTTATTTGTATATTTTTATCTGGGTATAGAACATTCTTTTCCCAGTCTCTAATGCTGCAGCAAAACCTTAAATATTGACATCAAAACCAGTAAGTACTGTTAGTCCTTGAAACAATTTGGAAAGCACTAATGAACCTGGACTTACACTGCAGTTTGGCTTGTTGCCCTTGGATACTGGAAGTGAAATTAAAAGTGGAGGAAAGGAAAATCAAATTGTGCTGCAAAAAACTGTTGAAGCTATTTATCATGAATCCTGATTTTGTTTCGTTTTTACATTATGCTGCCCTTGCCCCTCAACTTTGCTAAGTCTAATGTTAATGCAGATCAGGGACAGATTACTATTCAAAAGAAACCTCTGGAAAACAACAAATGAAGACTTCCTTTGAAGAACTTTATTTATCCAGGGAGATCCGTAAGACAGCAAAAGCACCTCCTCCTCAACAAGAAGTAAAATGGTCTAGAGAACAGGGAAATTTTAGGAAATTACTATCCGTGATGTGAGAACTAGAATGGATTAGCTGACCAGCTGAAAACCTGCAGACCATGTTCACTTTGCTTCAGAAATAGAACCTATATATCAACTGTGCGTGAAAAATGATTGCAACATTATGTTACATAAAAGTATTATTAACTTGATTTCAAAGTGCACTTTGTTGTCATCAGTGCTGTTAATAAAAGACGATTCTCAGGAAGTCCAGGCCAAAAGTTTTACTGAGTTTGCATGCTTACCCGAAACTTAATCAAATGTCTCATTTCTGGGTACTGGACTACAACACTGGGCATTCTCACGCAATTTCCATGATTCCTGATTTCATCCCATCTAGTAATACCACAAGATCTGTCTTTCTTGAAAATGTCTTTACTTTTATTTTTAATCTCATTATTGCAATGCCCTTTAGAAAGCTAGATGAGACATGGTAGTGAAGTATGTGAAAATTTAGGGCCCATCCTAACAAACACACACATATAAGAAAAGCAAATGTGCAGAGTGAACACAGAAGGTTATGGGTTAGAAGCTGGGAGAAATATAACAGGTAAAAGGTGACTAGGTGATGATCATAAATATCCCTGTCTAGGCAGGAGACAAAGGGTAGGATTTTCAAAACTGCTTAAATGTTTTAAAAATACTTGATTCATTGGAAGCCAATATGATCTGTACTCGTAAGACATATAGGCACTTGAAAATCCCACCCAAACATACCAGCTTGCAAAGTCCTCATTATGAATGCATGCCCTCACAAGCAGGGTTCACTATTTTTTCACTATTCTATGAAGCTAGCATCAAAGAATTAAAGCAAAACAGAGATACTACGAAAGAGATGACTACATATTTTCATTTATGTATTGGCAACAAAATATTCCTAAAAAACAGATTTAGCCTTTTTTGTATCATCATGTAGGAGCAGACTCCTAAACATGAATGACATAAAAAAATATACATGACGTGCTACTCCAGCATTGGCCCTCATTGGCAGCATATTAAAATTCCATGCATGAAACCACAAGCTGAGGTATTTTACATATTCTGACAGAACTGAAAGGGTTAGTGATTTCCCTTCCTTGCTTCATGAATATGATGCATCATATTATGCTATCTCTGCCTTCAGCTGTGTGTTCTGTGATAGATTGTTACTAGATAAGAGCAAGTCACTGGCTTTAACCCCAACCCCTACTGCACAGATTTATGTCACAATCAAACCTGTATGAAGAAGAACCCATTTCTAATGTTATTGATCTCAATGCAGATGGAGGATTTTATACCCAGTTTTCACAGGGCTGTTAAATCAGCTCAGGCAGACAGGTAATGAAGTTTTTTTTTAGCCTTTGGTAGCTTCCCCTGGGTGAAATGCCCAGTCTGACAATGCAGTCAACACAGATCAAGTAGTCTGAGTTTACACATGCATGTAGAAAATAACTTTAGTGTACATAGTAAGATCAGACTGAATACCTATGCAAAGATGTAGCATAGCAGAATATGACAGAATGAAGCAATACAGACATTACTAGAAGACACTATCAGCAATAACCTTCAAATACCTAAATGCTTGTAAAAATATTAAAATAAAATGTGCCATCATACCTTTTTTGATCTGTGAAAAAGCAAATCCTAGTCAGTGCGTCAAATTAGTGTATGCAGGCTGACGAATCTATTAAAATAAGCCAAAAAGAGTAAAAATATATTTTATTTTTGATGCAACAGTCTTTTCTTCAGCCTTTGGGGAGGAAGAAAATTGTTTTCATTAAACTGGTACAAAGATATACAGATAATATACATGCACACACACAGAATATATATAAAGAGATACCATCATTATTATATATACATTTTTAATTAATGCAATGTGTACTAATGCAGCTCTAAACATTCAGCAGACTGAATCCTGAATTCTACACAAGAATGGTGGTGTCTTTTTAAATGTTCATAAATCACATAAAGCTGATATCTTAAAAAGAAAATCATTACCAGCTCATGCGCTGCCATACCCCAAAAAGCCTATCCTTAAATAACTGCTGCATAATCATTCTCCTGGAGCATTATTATCCATCAGCTTGCTGCCTATCTCCAGACAGACGCAGTCTGCAAGCCACCAGCTTGTATCTACCATGTGTACGTCAGGAAAAGGAAAACTGCAAATTAGAAAAAGTCCCTGCAGTGGTGAAAAGGAAAAGAGGGCGAGTGGGAGAGGAAGAGGGAGTTCACTGGCCACAGAATTTTCGAGAATGATGACAAGCCAGCCAGCTCCGCCATCATTCACTCACAATAGGATGCTGCGACTCGCGTCTGCTCAAACAGTTTGTCAAGGGGTGTCTGGTATCAAATGCCTGAGAGGCATTGTAATTGCATCCAACCAAGTGTGTCCTCAGGAATCAGGCCTTTAATCCTATGAATATCATCAACTGCCTCCCTTTGTGCCACTGCCAAGCATACACACTAGCACATACTGCATACAGGCAGCAGCACCACACAGTTTCTGTGACTATACCAATCCAAATCCTAAACAGGTTTTACATATTGTACATTTTGAAAAGGAAGTCTTGAGGGATTTGACAATCTCTGCATTACAGATTAGGAACCACACATTGATTTTACTGTCCCCTTTTTTGATTGAGATGTCCCTGAATTTGTTGGCAAGTCATTTGCTCAGTTATTGGGATCTATATTTATTATTTCTACCAATAATGAAAAACAGGGAAGTCACTGAAGAGCAAAAGCAGCATGAATGTAAGCTAGGCTCTGTGTAACCAGTATTGTGATAGTCAGCAGCCACCCCATATTTCAGCTTGAAAGCAAACGTGCGACTTACATGTTGGCCTCAAAATTTGCAGTTTAGGTCAGGGCCAGGGTACATGTTTATTTTTATCCAAATTTGACAACAATCAGATAAATGACTTAACCAAGACACTCTAAAGCAAGACAGTCTAAAGACTGGAAAAAAAGAGGTTGGGGGTGGAGGGGAGAGGGAAGATCAGTCTGGTCAGTCTGAATAACCAGGTTGAGATTTGGACTTTAGGACCAAAAATGAAGTTAAATTTCTTTATGAAGTTGTAATTTTGTTATAAAATACCATCTAATCCAAGCTATTAAGGACACAAACAAGCAAAGCACAAGCACATGCCTGACTTCAGTCCTAGTAAAGCCAGTGGGCCTAGTAAAGTTTAAGATTTAGGGTTTTGCTGGATCGGGAGTCTAAGTATACACATCAACTGCTGTCCCGTTACCTTAGTTAGACCTCACAAGGCAACCCTATTGCTAGGAAGGCTTGTCAATGGAAAATGGGATCATTTTCCTACCCAAAGGCAGTTGAGGGGGCATAACAAGTTCCACATGTCTTGTGGGCCTAACATGCCATGTGAGGGACCTAACATGTCCCTAAAGCTGTAGAGAGGGGCCAATATTCCTCCTCAGGTTTACTGGGAGATCTCACCTTAGGAGGTCCATAAGGAGATGGGGGCAATGCATCCCTAACCTCTTCCCCCTAGCCACCATTCTTGCCCTGTTCCCACTCCACATGAGCTCCATGAGGTGTTTTTGGCTGGCTATCCTTAAAGGACCACAGTAGTGGGAGGTCTATTAAGTATAAAAGACTGACAGTAGCTTCCCTCACTGCCTTCCCCTGCTCCCTTGAACAGGGCACATGTAACAATTTTTCTGCTTCTCTAAATTTATCTTTTCCCACTAGATCAACACACCTTCAGTGAGGGGGAGCATGAGGAAATGGAAGAAACCAGTCACCAATAGCAGCAGGCATGAGACAGTGGTTATGGGTGAGCCTGAAAATAAAGGTGGAACAAGTTATCTTACTGGAAGAGATAGGGAAAGCGAAAGATCAGAAGTGTAGGAGAAAGAAGCAAGGAAAACACTAGCATATTTCTGACTTTTCCTTCCATCCACCTTCCTGTGGCCCATCAAAAGAAACTTGCTTTGATTTCTCACTTGCAGAAGCCAGGGAGGCTCGCAGAAATGGGCAAAATGTGGCCCGGGGGCCAAATGAGGCTCACCAAGCCATTCTATCAGGCCCATGGGGCCCCCACCCAAATTAAGAAAATTAATATTTACCTGTCCCTTGCTGCCTCTCATGTGGCCCTCAATAGTTTGCCAAAACTCAGTAAGCAGCCCTCTGCCCGAAATAATTGCCTGCTCCTATGTCTAGTGTCTCCTTGCCTTCCCCCAAAGCACTGAGCTGTTCCTCAGCTCCTCCATGCTGCCCTCTCTGCAAAAGGTCCCCTGCTTTCTCCTCTATGTACCACCAGACTTCATCAAACTCTAAAGGTTTATGGTAAAGGCCCATAAACACAAGACAGGTGAAGGAGAAGAATAGAAAGGTGTCCTGTAAGCCTTATTAAAGATTACTGTCAATGCAGGGTCCTCTTTTAAGTCTTACATGGAAACTGATGCACATCCCTAGGCAGCATCCATCTCCTGTGCCCGTTCTGGGGCCTCAGAAAATGTGAAAAGGTAATCAAAACCCAACTTCCTTCCTTCAGGCATAAGGAGTCCAAAGCTATAGCTATTAAAAAAGAAAAAAACATTTAGCCACAAAAGCTTTCGTATTATCACAGGCAAGAGTCAGCAGCAGTTTGAGGGTATACAACTCTTTCATAAAATTAGAGATAGGAAAAACAAAACCTTTATATACCTAGGAAATGTACAATTGAGGTTGGACTTCTTGAAGACAGCCCTCAAACTGCTTTAACTCTGCTTCCTGGAAAAAACCAAAAAACAAACCCTAACTACTGACCCTGTCCACAGCAAACCACTTCAATTTTGTCATTCCCTGGCAAACAATGGAATGCTTTACTCATCAATCATATAGGAGAAGCACTCCCTTACAAATTTCTATAAAGTCATATATAGCACACAGAAAAGAATTTCACAAACTCCTGATGGGAAAGAAATCACTAAGGACGATATTGTGCAAGACACAGAGGGCATTCAACCAAACACATGGAGCTCATTTCTTTCTAAGATCGGGACATACATTTTGAGGTACTCATGATCTCAACAAATGCCATTGCACACAAAATTAGCTTGTCCCCATATACAATTCTTGTAAATTAGGATAATGAAATAAGATCATTTTTCAGTAGAAACCCTCCCCCATTCCCCTGAGGTTAAAATAGTGATAAATCATGGCACTGACTAATGGAGGCATGTATGTGTGACTGAGGCCTCTAGCAGATGTTACATTTATGATGTGATTAACACATTAATTGTGCCATAATTTACAACATGCCACATGTTTAGCCAATGCCTGGCACCATAAAATGGCAAACCAACCACAACGATTTTCTACATTATGGCTAGGGACAAAAGTTACACATAAACCAGTATAAGTGATTCAAAACCAGTTCAGATCTGTAACACAACAGAAATTCAGTGTGCACAAACCACTTTCAAAATGGCTGAAACCAATTTAAGATATACCTGGATGAATGTAGTATCAGACTTCACTGATTTAGGTTAAACCAGTTTACTGAACTTCTCTCCTAGATCTCCTCCAAATTCAAGTTAGCTCAGTCCCCTAGCATCCCAGGATGCTTTGCATCTCCCCTGAAAACCCTCCCCCCAGAGTGAGTGGGCTAGCTTTGGCCCAAACTGTCAGCTCCAGCCAAGCAGGAAAACATGCTCTAGTGCACCCCAGCTTTTGGCCTGGGGCATTGCAGGCTGCATTTCTGGAATCTGTTCATTTGCTTATTGGTTCAATCTATGCAGTTTAGATTATCCTGCAAAGATTGAACCAATTCAACCTTGGACTTTTTGACTGTCTGGACTTAGCCTATATGGCTAGGGACAGACATTACACATTAACCAGTTTAAGCGATCAGGAATGAGTTTAAACCTATAACAGAACAGATGTTCAGTGCATATAAACCAGTTTGAAAATGGCTGAAACCGGTTTGATATAAACTTGGTTGAATGTAGTATCATACTTAATGCACTGTCTGTCCCAGACCCCCTCCTGGTTTAAGTTAAATCAGAGTCCTATAGCATCCCAGGTGCTTTGCAACTCTGGACAGGGCTCTGCTCCAGCCCAGCAAAGCTAGCCCTTCCTCTCTGCTCCCTGACTGGAGCTCTGGCAGAGACTGCAGGCAGCTGCCTGGGTTCCTCCTGCTCCTCTCTGCCCCCTCACTACTTCCTGTTCAAGCAGGGATTCCCCCCTCCCCTCTGCCTTACACAGATACCTCTCAGCATTAGTTAGCATACCACATGCTGGCTATGGTCCATGGTGTGGGAAATGGGACAAAAGCAGACAAGACAGTGTTGGCTTAGGGCTTTTTGGAGCTCATCAACAGGTAGGTGGTAATGTCCCTCCATTCCTTCCTTGGAAAAAGTTGTTTAAGAGGAGCTTTAACTAATGAGAGAAGCTGTTGTTTTGTTTGATGGGGTGATAAATGCTAACAACTCCCTGTGTAACTCCCTGCTGTGTAACTCAATGCCCAGGGTGTGTGTGAGGGGGACCCCCTCCCTAATCAGAGCATCCTGCTGGGGCCTGGCCACAGCCCCTGAGCTCAGCACTGTCACAGGGAAGGGAGGGCTGCTCCAGCACCCCGTGCCTTCTAGCCTAAGCCACTGCAGGCATGTGCCTGCATTTCTTCAGTCCAGAAGGGATATCTGTGCAGTTACAAACCAGTTTAACCTAGCCAGGTTAGACTAACCTGCAAAGATTGAATCAATTCAGGCTCAGCCTTTTTGAATGTCTGTCCCTAGCCTATGTGAAAAAGATCACATGATGTTTGGGATAGAACATAAAATTCCTCAGATCTCAATGGCACCATTATTTAAGTGTCTGCCAGGGGTCAAATGATAAAGCCATTATTTTCTAGTGCACACCTTTAACAACTTACCTATAAAGAAGGGAGAAAAGTAAGCTGAAATCTCTTTCAGGGCATAAGAAAAAATCATGTGCATGCCTTGTTTAAGTGTCATCTGAACTCTAAAGTTAGTTTTAGTTTTTATTTTAAACTCTAGTGTTCATAAACAATAAAGCGTCATCACTTTTGCTATTATTTGTATTACAATGGTGCTTAGAAGCACCAACTGAGATGAGGCCACATTCTGTTAGGTACTGGACATACATAAAATAAACAGTGCCTGTCACAAATACTTTATAAGCTAAATAGATAAGGCAGGCAAGAGGTGACACAAAGTATTCTCCACATTTTACAGATGGGTAACTGATGAAAAGAATAACTAAGAAGAAAAAGTCTGTCACCAAGCCAGGAATCAAACCCAGATCTCCTAAGTCCCAACCTAGTACCTTCTATTCAGACCACTGCCATATACCAGCCACCACACCAGAAACTGAATCTTTGTTTTCTATCAGAGATTGTGTGCACTTGCACATGCACCCATACAAGAGAAAATTCAGCTGAAATGTTATGCAGTGCCCATAGTGGCATCTACTAAGATCATGACTTTAAATTAGAAGGAACAAGTTGTGTGAACAGAAACAGCTTCACAGTTTTGAAAACAGGACTGGGAAGGGATGAATATTTTGACACATCTTCTTGCATTGACATTTTAAATTATAAGCAGCTATTTTATCCAGCATTGCTAGTTTTGTTGCAGTAATAATAAATGGATAGGCAGTCTGATTTTTGCATTGCTCTGCAAGGAGACCAGTTTCTTGCAAGTTTCCCCCCATTTCTTTAGAAAGAAAAAACAAGATTGAAGGAAAGGAATTTATTCTTAAAATACATACATGTGCCTTATGAAAAGGGGCTCTGCAGTGAGGACAGTTGAAGCAGGAGTCATCAATAGTAAATATCTCTATGATTACTCATATAGAAAAGTTTAAGTAAAAATAAGGCAGTGATGGGAGCAAGGAAAAGCTGTAGCCTGCATAACTAGCCTCTGCATGTACCCAAGGGAAGAAGATTAAAAACATAATGTGGAAAATTTCAGGATCAAAGCAGCCCTGGTTTTGTCCCTAGTCTCCTTGTTTCATTTCATTCATACTGAATTGATGCACAAATAACTTATCTCCCCATCTCACACTGGCAGTCTATCCAATGTCTTCTAAATTGTATTGTTCATTTCCTTTGTACCAAAGGCACCCCCCATCTTTGTATCCTCAGCAAATTCACATGCCCCTTCGCCCAAAGTAAACAAAATCAGACCTACCATTCATCTTGCTGTCCATCACAAGTTGCCTGTTTACATTTCACCGTCTTCTGCAAAAAGTACCTGTTGCATTGGATACCTAAGCACACAGAAAGTTACCGACCTTGCAGCTAGACTCCATGTAGCTCACTATTAACAGGGGTTTTATAATGTAAGCCAGCCAGGGATATCAAAGATATAGCCCATGGGCCAGATCCAGCCCACAAAGACATATCATCTGGCCTGTGGTGCTGCCTGCAACCCTTGGACTGTACCTAAACACTGCATATGATGTAGCAGATTGGCCCTACATGCAGCACATGTTGGTCTTGGCCCCATGTGCTATATATGTCACATGGGGCCAGTCCAGGGTGTGTACTATATGTGCACTGCCTATGTGCTGTGATGCCTGGCACTGGGGCCAGTCTGTGGGGCCAAACCAGCTTGCAGACTGGCCCCATGCCTCCCCATCTGGCCTATGGAGCCTGATGGATGTGATACCCCTAATCTAGGTAAATTATGTTCACTCTTTGGCCCTCTGACATCTCAGTTTGTTACTTGTTTTTAAAATGTCAGACAGATTATTCAGTCATGATCTTTTTGTGAATCCAAGCAATTAAACAGCAACTGTCCAGGTATTCCTCAAATCTACTTCTGATTTCCATTTTTTTGCTGCCACCTCATTTGAAGATCTAGGATTTTCAAATCATGGTAAAAATGCTTCTCAGAGCAATTGATGCTTTATGGAGACCTTTGAAGCTTTCAGGCAAACACATACTTTTCA